TTAGAGGATTTATGAGTTACATTGGAACAAATGAATGAGTAATAAAAAATTTGTTAAGAGTGTATTTGTAAACTTTTAAGGTATTTTGTCATTTTTTTAAACTAGGGGTAATGATTTTTTATAGGATACCCGGGAAAGGAATCGGAACCTGCATTTTAGGTTCCGGTTCCTTGTTAAGAACCTGCAGTGTGCGGTTCCAGTTCCGGTTCTTTTTTGGGAACCTGCACTGTGTGGTTCCGGTTTGGTCTTTCAAAAATGTAAGGTACCCAGAACCGCTCAGCCCTAATTTATCCATGAAGATGGGAGTAGTTGTTGACATTGTAGTCAAACGAACCATGCAGAAACTGATTATGGTCTTCTTGCAATAAATAATTATGTAACTTCTTATCATCACTATAAATTCTCATCAATCCTTCAACATATCTCAACTACATTAATACGACCAACCATTTCACTTATCAATGGAGAACATCAAGTGCATCTATTATGTTGCAGTGCGTGTTGTTCAACATTTCATGTCTAGCTTAGCTAGCCTGCCCAAACTTAACAACCGATCAATCTGCTCTCTTCAATTCAAAGTGTCTAATGTCTAATGGAAAAGTGTCAAAGTGGCTATTGTGTTCTGCAAAATTTGATCATTCATTCATTTATTTCGAATAAGAGCGGGAATTGTTGAACAACTGCTATATTCAAGAATAGTATGTAGTTCATGAATGGAAAAGTACTTGAATAATCCTTGTTATGTTTCTGCTTCAACCTCTCTTAATAAATATGATACAGAACATAATAAAATGTTTAAGGTCCCTTGATTTTAATTTAACAAGAAGACATAATTAAGCCATTCATTTTTATATAATTATGAATTTGAGAGATGTCAAGCACTGATTTGAAAAGAATAGCCCTTTTACTTGCCAATTGATCGTGTAGCTCTTCCATCTCTCGGCCTTCCACTGGACTTGTTATTAAGCAAACCTATCATATTTCTAAGTTCCTCACTTTGCTAAAGAATCAGTACTGTTGTTGCATGCCTCCATAGATGGTAAACACAATTACATTTCATTGCTTTATAGTGTACACAATTACATAAAGTACTGTTGCAAGGAAACTGATAATTTATATATGATGTATGTTCTTTATCTTTTCTCATACATTTTATGGTTGGTTAATTATATGTATGATAATGTAAAGACGTTTTTAAGGGTCATGAAAGTGGTAGGTGTAGTAGAAATTCATGAGAGAAATGAATAGTTAGTCAAGCTTAATTTCTTCTCAATGCACGACAGCTCCCAAAGTTAGTCCTAAATTTCTGCGACTTTCTAGCATTAATCTGAATGGACGACCCAAGACCTACATACTAGTTAATGCGAAATGAATGCGAAGTCAAGTTTCAATTAATGAGAAATTAATTCCGAAGCCAAGTTCAAACTATGGGGTATGAGAATGTGAATGACTCTGCAGAAATTAACTCTAAATGAAAATATTCTAGTTCAATTAATGGAAATAAGTTTCGAAGTCAAGTTCTTCCTATTCAGTCAATTCAATGACAAGTAAGACTCAAGATTATACCCAAATCTGACCCGGCATACATCCACCTCATCCAGTCAAGCTAAGGACAAATTTTGTCGGAATTGTTATAATATAATGAAAGTAAATAATACCACACCTTCAAAACAAGAATCCTAAATTTTCATCCAAATGAGGTAATCCTATATGGGTGATAGATATAAATGAAAACGTAATTGGTGAATCATATGACAATACCAAATAGAGACACATCATTTTGAGTATGAATTCAGGGTACTTTTGGGATGTGTATATACAGTTAATAAAAATATCATTATATGTTCATAGCCATACAAACATGTTTATCACAATGTCTTCCTAGATTAATCCAATTGTGTGAATCACTATTATTACATAAGTTAAACAAAAGGCTATACCATAAAAGAACAAGAGCAAGATTAATATTGTAAATCTTACAAGTTTTATATAATATTACCAGCAGATACAATGTTTTTACATATCTTTCAGAAATTTGTTCCCCAATTCCAAATCATTATTAATATTCTAAATATTCTAAATTTTATATTTCCATGTTAAGCGTCTTATGTTAAATGTAATTAATCATAATTAATGTATTAAAAATCTCGCAGTCCATATGAACATACAGCAATGAGTGTATGTTGTAATCGAGGCATTAAAATATTCCAAAAGGGCCCATAAATAAGAAATCTTGACAAAAAGCCGCATATAAAGGGAGAAAAATCCCATAATTGGGATATTACAGATAGCTAATTGGATAATATATACCATTTTGTGATTCAAATGCGCAGAATGAAAAAGAAAAAAAATATAGTGAAAATTAATTAGATTCCGCTCCATGATTGTAAACACATGGGAGCGGAACCTGATTAATTTGCATTAATAGTGGTCTTCCTTGTAATAATTAGCTACTTTTCTTTACTATAAACTTTTATCAATCAATTACATCTCTCTCTTCATTTTCTAATTGTGTAATGGACAAAGTCATTGGTTAACTTATTGAATTAATATTACATAACTATTGCTTGAAAGAGAGAGCAGGGGTGTTGAAACAATGTTTTTGACAAAATCCGTACTGGAAATTAAGCAATAAATAAATAAATAAAATACTTCACTAAAATGTTTAATAAGCTTCTTCTAACCTGTCTTAAAAATTATGTATATACAGCACATTATAGAGGTCTCCTCAATGAAAATACTATGGCATATATTCAACGAGCATGATAGACGAGGATTTTATTTCTCCATTTAACGAACAATATAAGGAAACAATAACAAGAACAAGATCATATAATCCTTAATCATTATAAAATAGACTATATTATTACATAATAAAAGTATAGGGCTATTCCATGCATGCATATATAGAAACATCTAAACAATTAATCATGAACCCCCGAATTGATATCTGCTCAATGTCTAATATGCAGTCTCCAATCTTTTAAAAACAACCTGGGGTGAAACCTGACAAAGTTGTCGTGCTCAGACTGACTGGTATAACGGTTTGATCTCCGATCAAAAAAGAAGATAAAACTTTTAAAATTAAGCAAATACACCCCTAAAAACTTGTTAAGTCTTTTAAGGTTTGAAATTTAGCCAACACAACCCCAAGTACAAATCGGCGGTGATTGGTTAGCCGCAGGTGACACCGAAAAGCAATCTCAATCATCCATTGAGCCCATTCCATAGAAAATCTATCCAAGATATGGTGAAATTGGTTCGATTTGGCCAGATCTACAATGTGGGTTGAATTCCAGGCCAGATCTCACCAATGCTGCCGTCGAAAACCTCCCCATCACCTCGAAAATACTCCCCTTTCCTCCCAACCAAAACCCCCACTCCATCCCACCCGTTAGGCCACCAATCGCCGGCAAAAGCCAATTGCTACCGCCGCTGTTTTTTTCAATTTCGATCGATTCATCACCGGAAATCAATACTGTCACCACTATTGCACTCATCGACACCTTCTTTTCAAAAGCCCCAACTCCTGATTCAATTGTTCAACGATCATCATTAAATTTAGGGTTTGGGTGAATAGGTAAAATGTTAATCTGGACCCATGAGCTCTCGGGACTCGCGTTTAAATCGGCCGGGCCGAGCTGGGTTTTAAAAGAGAGCCTATCTCCATCCCTTACCTAACATAGCCCTCCATCCCTCACCTAACATAGCCACTATTTTCATGAGTCCCATCCCCAAATTAACCTGAAACCAAAAGAGATTTTGTTCTCACTTTACAGAAGGGGTGAATGATTACTCTTGGACAAATTTATGGAAGTTTAACAGGCTCAAAAAACTAATTATTAATTAAATAAATATTTATATTTTATTCCTTGACAGTAAACAAAAGCAGGAAGATAAAGCATTCAATTAAATTAAGAAGTTTTGAACTAAGGATGTCGATTTTGGGGGTGTTTATCTGAGCTTATGAAAATTAGTTTATAAGCAACAATTGTTTATAAGCTAAAATTAACTTATAAGCATTTGAAATTTTAAGCAATTATGTGTTTGGTTAAAATACTTATAAGTGACTGATAAGTAATTGACTTGTTTGGTAAGATGTGGTTTATAAGTATATTTTATTATAAAATTACTAAAAAATGTACTACATTAAACAATGACATACTATGAAATTTTAAAATTAAACAAGGATAATATGGTAATATTCTTGGTCAAACTAGCTTTTAAGCAAAGTGCTTATAAGCCAAAAAAAAAAAAAAAATACCTCCCTCCCAACTTATTTTTTTTAGCTTATAGCTCAACTTATAGCTCAAAAAAATTATAAACAAATAGGTCAGCTTAATTTTAGAGTTTATAAGCAAGTTTGTTTTTATCCTGTTCTAGTATTCTTCAACTTGGAAGTAAATAAAAAGTGGAGGAGTCATCCACGAGTCTAGTTAAAATTAAGTTAGCATTATCTTCCCTTTTTATTGTTGACCAAAGGGTAAAAGTGTAAAAACCTCAAGCAGCAGGAGGAAAATGATATTTTGCAATACGATGTCGTTTCGTCTATAACAGAATCAGAAGTTCAGTTGTAAAGTAGTTGTTTCAGTAGTTGGTAATCTGTTTTTCGTATAAAAAGGGAGAATGTTCCCTTGTATCAGTTCGAATTTACACTACAATAACTGAAATCACCTACACTTTCTTGATTTTACATTTATCAACCAGAGTTTTATTTTATTTGAGTCAATACAATTCTGCTTTGTGTGTGTGTTTGTAATTGAGCTGAATTTATAAAAGTATAATTAGGTTTGTGAAAGAGAAGAGACAAGACTTTGAAAAAGACCAACTTGGCTTAACTAATAAAGCACGGCTCGTGTGTCCTGTGTGTTAGAAAGTTCACCAACAATTATGGTCTTACTAGAAATATTACTTAATTATGCTACTATTTCATCATTATAAATTCTTTTATCCACGATATATCTACCTATCTCACTTCATACATCCTATTTCACAAATCAATGGAGAATATGATGTCCATCTATTTCTTTCCAGTGTTGTTTGTGAATTTCTGTTTCATGTCTAGCTTAGCTATGCCTGCCAAAAACTTAACAACCGATCAATCTGCCCTTCTTCAATTCAAAGCACATATCACTTCTGATCCTAGCCGTGTCTTAGTGTATAATTGGTCCATTTCTAATCCAATCTGCCAATGGGTTGGAATTTCTTGTGATGCTCGCCATGGAAGAGTCACAACCTTGAATCTTTCATCAATGGATCTTGGAGTTCCTCCACACCTAGGTAATCTCTCATTCCTAATGAATCTTGATCTTGGTGACAATAATTTCCATGGCCATCTGCCAAATGAATTGGGACAATTACGGCGATTGAGAGGCTTTTCTATTGGCAACAATAAAATAAGTGGAGGCATTCCAACATGGATTGGTAGTTTATCTAAAATCCACTTCTTGTATCTTTATAATAGCAGTTTCACCGCCACCATACCTTGGAGTAGCATAGGCAACATTTCCTCATTACAAATTCTTAATTTAACCTACAACAGCTTTTCTGGCAGTCTGCCCGATGATATTTGCAATCATCTTCCAAACCTTGAACGGCTTTCTTTATCCTACAATGGACTTTCTGGCCAGCTTCCGGTGAGTTTAGGTGATTGCAGCAAACTTCATACATTGTCATTGTCGTATAATAATTTCACAGGACACATACCACAGACTGTTGGAAATTTGAGTAAGCTTATCGCTTTGACTCTTAATGACAACATCCTAGCAGGTACACGATTCAACTTTGATATTTTTGAAGCATATAGCTGGTGTGAGCATGAGTGTCCAATAACATATATATTAGTATTATAATATTCTCTTCAATTAGTATGTTATACTTTAAAAAAATAAAACATGCAAGCGTTGTATATTAATAATCTTATAAAAGCAATAGGTCTGGGAAATCCAATCAGTTTGGTACCTTGAAAAAGGATTGTGGTAGAAATTTAAGTTATACAATGTCAATTTTCATATTTAATGTCTCTTAACTGTAAAAGTTGGCCAAAAGAAGCACCAACGTTTGTCCTCTAGCAGGTGAAATTCCACAGGAGATTGACAAGTTGCAAAGTCTACAGATTCTAGGTCTTGGTTTCAATAGTTTCACCGGTAATATTCTCTCTCTCAAAATTTAATATTTCAATCATTATTATATTTATTGTTAGTAACTTTTAATATTATAAATGTAAAATAACATATATTTAAAAAATAACCTTAACTTAGAATATTGTGGTAAAAAAAATTGTATATATAAAGAATAATGACTATAGATTATGACTATCTAAGTATAGAATTAAAAAAAAATATATAGTTAATTTTATATTGTTTTTATGTTTTACAGCTGGTCCTCTCCCGTCAAGTAGGGGTGAGCGGTTCCGGGTACCCTGCACTTTTCCAGGGAACCGGAACCGGAACCGCACAGTACAGGTTCCCAAAAAAAGGAACCGGAACCGGAACCGCACAGTACAGGTTCTTCAATTCAAGGAACCGGAACCTAAAATGCAGGTTCCGGTTCCTTTCCAGGGTACCCTGTAAAAAATCAAACCCTATGAGTTTAAAAATAACAAAAACACCTTTTTAGTTTACAATACACCCTAACAAATTTTCGTTATTCATTCATTTGTGTCCAATGTAACTCATAACCGTAATCTCTAAGCAACACTTGAATTCAATCAATTCACATAATATTCGTCAATCAAACCAAAACACAAACAATTATTCATCCCAATTCACATAAATAACTTCACCAAAATCATTTAAATAAACAACAATTCTTATACTAATTACTAACATTGCCATTTGCCAGGGGTCATTTGATAAGTTAATAAATTATTAATGTTTATAAATTATAATTTATGTTATAATGGTAATGGGTATTAAATATACAAATATAATTTAGTAAATTTAATATTAGAAACAAGTAATGTTAATTAAAAAGTGATCATACTACAATGTAAATTGTGTAATGTTATAATTAATAAGTGATCATACTACAATGTAAATTGTAATGTTATAATTAATTAAGTAATATATATTTAATTATAATGTAATATTAATTAATAAATTGTTAATCATTTAATTAAGTATTATATATTGTTTATAATAGAATGTTATAATTAATTAAAAATCATACATAAATATAATATAATGTTATAATTAATAAAATTAAATAATTCGATTAAATATTGTGCAAATTAGTAAATTACTAATGTTTAATATAATGTCATAATCAATAAGTAACATTTAATTATTAAGTTATATAATTATATGATCATACTTAATAGTATAATGTAATGTATAAAGAATTAAGTAATCATACTACAAATCTAATTTAATTATAATTAATAAATTTTAAATCATTTAATTAATATACTAATGTTTATAATGGAATGTTATAATTGATTAAGTATCATATTACAATATATAAAGTAATGTTATAATTAATTAAATTTAATCGTTTAATTAAGTAATGTAATAGTATAGTAGATTACTAATGTTTAATGTAATGTATAAATTCATAACTAATTAAGTAATTATGTATCATTTAACTATATAATGTTATAATTAAGTAAGTGATCATAATATAATGTAATATAATAATATTATAATTTAATTGAGGAATTATTTAACTATAATGTAATGCTTAATTAATGTTATAAGGAATGTTATAATTAATTAAATTTCTTATCATTTAATTAAGTATTGTGCTAATGTTTATGTAGTAAATTAGTAATTACTAATGTTTAAAATATATATCATAACTCAAATCAATTAAGTAATTATTTAATTATATAATGTTTATTAATATATGATCATACTATAAATAGTATAATGTAATGTTATAATGAATTAAGTAATATACTACAAATCTTATTAATTTATAATTAATAAATTTCAAATCATTTAATAATATCTAATGTTTATATGGAATGTTATAATGATAAGTAATCATTTACAAATATATAAAGTAATGTTATAATTAATTAAATTTTTAATCGTTTAATTAAGTAATGTAATAGTATAGTAAATTACAATGTTATAATGTAATGTATATAATTCATAACTAATTAAGTAATTATGTAATTATTTACTATATAATGTTATAATTAAGTAAGTAATCATAATATATGTAATATTATAATATTATAATTAATGGTAATTATTTAACTATAATGTAATACTTATAATGTTTATAATGAAATGTAAGATAATGTTATAATTAATTAAATTTTTTATCATTCAATTAGTATTGTGCTAATGTTTATATAGTAAATTAGTAATTATAATGTTTAAAATATAATATCATAACTGATAATCAATTAAGTAATTTTAATTATGTAATGTTATATACTTATATGATCATACATAGTAGTATAATATACTGTTATAATGAATTAATAATTATACATAAAATCTATAATTAATATTATATTAATTAAATTTCAAATCATTTGATTAATATACTAGTTTATAATAGAATGTATAATTGATTAAGTAATTAATATAATATATAAGGTAATGTTATAATTAATTAAATTTTAATCGTTTAATTAAGTAATGTAATATATAGTAATTAGTAAATTACATGTTTATAATGTAATGTTATAATTCATAACTAATTATGTAATTATGTAATCATTTAACTATGAATGCTATAATTAAGTAAGTGATCAAATAATATAATGTTAATAATATTATAATTAATTGAGTAATTAACTATAAGTAAGTTTATTAATGTTTAAGAAATGTTATAAGGTAATGTTATAATTAATTAAATTTCTTATCATTCAATAGTATTGTGCTAATATTTATGTAGCAAATTAGTAATTACTAATGTTTAAAACATAATATCATAACCTAATCAATAAGTAATTATTAATTATGTAATGTTATAATTAATTATAAATCATACTAAAGTTAATGTATAGTGAATTAACTATAAATAATCTACTATAAATTTTAATGTAATATTATTTAATTAAGTTTGTACTAATGTTATAATAAAGTCAATTAAAAGTAGTAATCAATTAATGTAATGCTATAATTAATTATACTATAAATCAATTAAGTAAGTTATAAAATTATAATAATTAAGTAATATAAATATATGTAGTTATAATTGTTAAGTATGATATTTAACTAGTAATTAAATTTATTAATGTTTATCAATTTATCATATATAATTAATTAATTACTAATTTATATAGATATACTTAGAACTTGATAATTGAAGTAAATAACTAAATATATTATTACCAATCAAATATACTATTTATTCAAAAATATTCTTTTAATAACATTAAAAATGTAAACACTTTAATTGGATCATAATCCAATTATTCACTTAATTGATCAAAACTTTATATTATATATTATAATATATTAAAGCTTTTAATATGGTGTAATTTATATGTAATAAGTATAATTGTATTCGTATATTTATTTAATTAGGTTATTCAAAAATTTAATTTTTTCTATTTTAATTTTTTTATATGTAAAATAATGAAACTTCCCCATTATTTACATTTCACAAATATTTCATTATAGTCCAGGTTCCAAAATAGGTTCTAAACAGGTTCCAAAAACAGGTTCCAATATAGGTTCCAAAACAGGTTCCAAACAGGTTCCAAAACAGGGTTCCAAAACAGGTTCCAAACAGGTTCCAAAACAGGTTCCAAAACAGGTTCCAAACCGTTCCAAACAGGGTACCCTTTTACAGGTTCTGGTTCCGGTTCGGTTTCGTCGGGGTAAGAACGGAACCGGAACCGCACAGTAGGGTTCCAAAAAATTGGAACCGGAAACCTACCCGCACAGTGCAGGTTCTGGGTAGGTTCGGTTCGGTTCCGGTTCTTACCCCCGGTTCCGGTTTACCCTACCCGTGCTCACCCTACCGTCAAGCATCTTCAATATTTCTTCTTTAAAGCATTCTTTCTTCCCAACAGTGGCCTATTCGGTAGTCTCCCAGCGGATATGTGCAATCATCTTCCAGCACTTCAGTACATATATGCTTTGTAATATGATCAGCGGCACAATTCCAAAGAATATCAAAAACTGTACTCATCTAGAAGTTTTATCTCTGGCTGAAAATCGCTTGACAGGTACTGCCTTGGCTTTGATTTATGTATTTTAGGTATTAATGTTTTCTTAACTAAATATTTATTTTTAACTGAATCTCGTAAACTCCTTTTGAGGTATTCAAAAGCTGAAGGCCTTGTGCATCAATGTTTGCATTTTGGCAGGTGAAATTCCAGATGAGATTGCGAATTTGCAGAGTCTACGAGACTTGGCCCTAGGTTCCAATGGCTTAACTGGTATAATTCCAGCATCAATATTCAATATTTCAACCATAGAAGAAATTGATCTATCCATGAATAACCTTTCGGGCGGTCTACCATCAAGCTTTGGCAAATGCCTTCCGAATCTCGTGCGTCTTACCATAGGTGGAAATAAACTTATTGGAGCAATCCCCAACTCCATCTCCAATGCTTCCAAACTCACTTTCCTAGATCTGACCGCAAACTCATTTTCTGGCCTTTTTCCAAATACATTTGGCAACTTGAGACTCCTTAAATATCTTGGCCTTGCGGGAAATAACTTGACCACTGAATCACCCACTACAGAATGGAGCTTTCTCCCTTCGTTGACAAATTGCAGAGAACTAAAAGTTCTTTACTTAGATTCTAATCCATTGTATGGCATCCTCCCACTTTCAATTGGGAATCTATCATCATCTCTGCAAATTTTTCGTGCAAGTAATTGCAAGATCAAGGGCAGCATTCCTATAGAAATTGGTAACTTACATAGCCTGTTTGTTTTAGAACTTTCGATGAATGACTTGAATGGATCGATTCCAACAACTGTGGGAAGACTATCCAACCTCCAAGGTCTAAGCCTCAGAAATAACAATTTGCAGGGATCCATTCCATATGAGCTTTGTAACTTAGAGAATTTCTATGCATTATACTTAAGTGCCAATGATCTCTCTGGATGCCTACAACCGTGCTTGGTGAGATTGATTTCTCTAAGATATCTTTACTTGGACTCCAACAGATTGACTTCTGATATACCGTCGTCATTATGGAGTCTTAAGGACATCTTGGAAGTAAATCTATCATCAAATTCTCTAAGTGGTTCCCTCTTTTCAAACCTAAAAAATTTACATATCAGAGTTCTAGATTTATCAAAGAATCAATTATCAGGTACTATTCCTGTCACTCTCGGGTACATTGAAACTCTAGAAACTCTATCTTTGGCTGACAATAAATTTGAAGGGCCTATCCCTACCACATTTGACACTTTGATAAGCTTGGTATCACTGGATCTCTCAAACAACAGTCTCTCGGGTGAAATTCCTAAGTCATTGGAATTGCTCTCATATCTAAAAAACTTTAACGTGTCTCTTAATAGGTTAGAAGGAGAAATTCCCACCAAAGGACCTTTCAGAAACTTTTCAGCTCAGTCATTTTTGTTAAATCATGCATTATGTGGATCACTAAAACTAGGCGTACCTCTGTGCGAGGGTGGCACAATCAAACGATCAAAGACAACCACTACACTTGTATTGAAATATGTTTTGCCTTTGATCTTGTCAATTTTATTGATAGTGATTGTCATCATTGTCTTCATAAGGTATCGGTACAGAAGAAAAGATTCTCCGATTGATGAAGTTGATTTGTTACCTTTAGCAAAATGGAGAAGAACATCATATCTAGAAATTCGACAAGCAACTGATGATTTTAGTGAGTGCAACTTGCTTGGTACAAGTAGTTTTGGCTCAGTATTTAAAGGGATACTTTCAGATGGGACTAATGTTGCGATAAAGGTTTTTAATTTACAAGTAGAGCGTGTACTTAGAAGCTTTGACACCGAATGTGAAGTGTTGCGCAACATTCGTCATCGGAATCTCATAAAAATCCTGAGCTGTTGTAGTAATATTGATTTTAAGGCCGTGGTACTTGAATTTATGCCGAATGGTAGCCTTGAGAAGTGGTTGTATTCTCACAACTATTTTTTAGATATGCCACATAGGTTGAATATAATGATAGATGTTGCAGCTGCTCTTGAGTACCTCCATCATGGTTATTCAACACCTATCATCCACTGTGATTTGAAGCCTAATAATATCTTACTAGATGAAGATATGGTTGCACATGTGAGTGATTTCGGCATTGCAAAACTCTTGAATGATGGAGATTTTAAGACACGAACGACAACGCTAGCCACTATTGGGTATATGGCACCAGGTGATGTTTCAACTCTAAATCTCAAATTTATATTTTAACCTTTCACACCTAATATTAAAGCATACACATACTAATATGGTATATTATCAATTATAATATTATATACCGATCATTTAATTTTATGATGAAATTAAATTTAAATTTTGTAGAGTACGGATCAATGGGGATTGCTTCCATAAGAGGCGATGTCTACAGCTTCGGAGTTTTATTAATGGAAACTTTCACAAGAAAGAAACCTACAGATGAGATGCTTGCTGGAGAAATAAGTTTAAAGAATTTTTTAGAGTCGTCATTGCCTTATGCAGTGACTGAAGTTATGGATGCTAATTTGTTAAGAGACCAGAATCCTTTTGATGCCAAAGTGAATTGCATGTTAAGTATCATGGATTTAGCTTTAAATTGTTCAATGAAGTCACCTAAACAGAGGATCAATATGAAAGATGCATTAACAAAACTCAAGAAGATCAAATTGCAATTTCAGAAAGATGTTGGGGCACCTAAATAATGTGGTATTGTTGTATATGTTATTTATGATTTTAATTTCTTGTTTAAGATCATTCTAATTAGTAGTTATCTATTCAAAAATTGAATAATGGATTTTGAGCTAGCTTCAATTTCTAATATGTGTAACGCAGAAGTGGCCATATATGTGATATGCAAAATATTCAGTTTTATCTTTCTTGTAGATATGATATTAAAGAATTGCATGCTTGAATAATAGTGCAGGAAAGGTTGAAACAATTTATATAACCTCGAAAAATTTGTAGTTCTATCAATAACTTTTATTTTTCTGGACATTCACAAACTGGAAATAAAGCAATTAATAGGTGAAATACTTAAAATAATCTACTGTTTTATGAGAATACTTTAATTGATTTTTCTAGAATTTAAATATTTGGATGGAAAGAAAACAAAGAAAGAGAGAACTTCAAAGAATTCTGGGAAGTAATCGTATTTATTATTGGGCCTGGTTAGACGGACAATTAGACAAACTTATTCCTTCATTCTTCTTACTCTCTACTTCTTGGGCCTTCATCTGGGCTTTTTGAGTACAGCTATCTAATTTCTAGGTGCATTCACCTCAGCCGACAATCAGTTTATTATTTTTGCATGAGCGGGCTTAAACCGAGTAAAAATCAACTTACCCGTAAAGTTTGGGGAAGGCTAGTTTTCGGGCAGCTATGACAAATTTGATCAAGTTACCCCCAATAATTTTAAAAACTATAAGGACCGAAACACAAACGACATCCCAATTTTGTTAAACAAACAAGGTTAAAATGGTCTTTTTCCTCCCTCATTCTTGCCTTTTCTCTATTCTCCTCCTCTTTCTTTCATTTTTTTTTTCCTTTTTCCCAATCTTTTTCCTTCTTATCCTCTTACCATTTTTTAACTTGCATCCGTTAACCACCGCTAGTCTAACCGTTGGATTCAAAAAGCTTTTCTGCAAAAAACACAAATTCTTCAGCAGCTGAAATGAAAAAACAGAGGAGGCTGCAGTTGCGTTTTTGCACTTCTCTTCTTCAGCTTTATATTTACAAAACGCAGCACTTCATTAATCAACTGATTCATCAAAACGCAGCACTTCATTACCTTGTTGACCACCAAAACGCAGCACTTCAATTAAACTAGCTTTCCCAGGCTTCTAATCAGAGTTTCTAGTCAAACATTAAACAATGGTAGTTCATGACTATAAAGTACTTGGATAATCCTTGTTATTGATTTGTTTCTCTCTTTAATAAACATGATATAGAACATGATAAAATGTTAAAAGTCCCTTGATTTTAATTTAACAAGCAAGACATAAAAAGACTTTATTTCTTGATTTTTTGAAAACAAGGACAAGAATCCCTTCTTGTAAAATCTAATATTATTGCATAATTAGTAGTGTGAACAGGTAGTGGGACCGAGCTCTAGCTGTTATCTCCTGATGCAGAGAGCAGAAAGGGTGGGCGGCTATTATAATACTTTTGAAAGCTGCTTTTATGTACGATCACTGTAAAGATGTTTTTAAGGGTCATGAAAGTGGTAGGTGCAGTAGAAATTTATAAGAAATGAATAGTTAGTCAAGTTAATTTTCTCTTAATGCACGGCACTAGCCAAAGTTAGTCCGTAATTAAGTTCGGTGACGTCTAGCATTAATCTGAATGCACAACCCAAGACCTACATAGTACATACTAGTGTTAATGAGAAATGGATTGCGAAGTCAAGTTCAAACAATGGGGTATGAGAATGTGAATGACTTTTGAAGAGATTTGAACAAGACTAGAAAACAAGAAAAGATTGAGAACGTAAGAACAATTTGCTCAGTGTCTCATAAATCATAATGCCTGTCTCCATCCCTCACCTAAAACAGCCACTATCTTCATGAGTCCCACCCCCAAATTCATCTGAAACCAAATAAGATCTTGTTCTCACTTTATAAAAGGGGTGGGTACTAATTTGCACCATTTAATAAAAAAAAATATATTTTTCTTTATTGATAATGTGAATGATAGACTCTTGGACAACTTCATGAAAGTTTATTAGTTTAATGGCTACAAAAAAAAAAAAAAAAAAATAAAAATAAAAATAATAGTCATAATTGCATTTAGTATCTCTTATGTTCGCGTCTACTTGGAGTTCTTACGTACTTCAGGCTTCAAAAATTTGGCATAACAATCTACATCCTGCCGCTGGTTTAAACACATCAGATATTGTTAGAAACTTTATTTGTTTAATAATAATCGTTGCATTTTTTATTTTAATATACATCAAAAATTGAACGTCAAAAAAGCTTCTATTTTATTCTTTGACACGTAAACAAATCAAGTTTTTTTTTTTTTAAAATAACTTTTCACATTATATTTATAGCTTTAACAAAGCTGCAAAATAAACAATTAAGAAATTAAATTAAGAAATTTTGCATTAAAGATGTCTTTATCCTGTTCTAATATTCTTTAACTTGGAAGTAAATAAAAAGTGGAGAGGTCATCCACGGGTCCAGTCAATAAGTTAGCATTATCTTCCCTTTTTATCAACCAAGAGTTTTATATTAATTGAGTCAATACAATTCGGTTTTCTGTGTGTGTTTGTAATTGGGCTGAATTAATAAAAGTATAAATAGGTTTGTGAAAAAGAACAGACAGGACTGAGTCTTGTTGTATTGTATGAGTTCGAGAAAAGAAGTGAGAAAGAGAGAAATACTTTGAAAAAGATTAAGAAGTTTCAACTTCAATTCCCATTGCTGTGTAGTAGTCATCAAATGTCTTTGAGGTAAACCTACTAATATTGTTTAGACAGATTGCTTTAACTAGACAATTTGAAAAGTGTGTCCCTAATCTGATAATTTATGCCAGTAATCTAGCAAAGATAACATTACGGGTAGATAGTAGACAAGCATGTGGCCATCGTGTCGATATGTCAATCAGTACCATAAAGTAACGGAAAGATCCACTTGGTGGATGAATAGGTCCACATATGTTTCCATGGATTCTTTACAAAAATGATGGGGGTTCTAGACCAACTTTAGTGATGGACGGCTTAAGTGTCAATTTGCCTTGTGAACAAGCATGTGGCCATCGTGTCGATATGTCAATCAGTACCATAAAGTAGCGGAAAGATCCACTTGGTGGATGAATAGGTCCACATATATCCCAATGGATTATTTACAAAAATGATGAGGGTTCTAGACCAACTTTAGTGATGGACGGCTTAAGTGTCAATTTGCCTTGTGAACATCCAATACAAGCACTCTTATAGGTGACAGAATCTTTAGGTTCTTTAATGGGTGCCCATGTGAGTTTTCTATGATTCTACACATCATACTGAATCCTGGGTGACTAAGACGGTCGTGCCAAATCTTAAAAAATTCAAGATCAGTAAACTTTTAGTTCATAACTGCATAGACTTCAACATTCTTCAAGAATGTGTAATATAACCTTGATGAGAAAGCAAGGAGTTTCTCCATTACATGCTTCTAGCATGAATTCTTAGGAGTGATGCATAGAAAGTCTCCATCCTTTTCACTTAAAGTTTCAAGGAGGTTTTCATTAAGTCGTGTATCCTTGAAACTAAGCAAATTTCTTCTAAATTTGCTAGAATATAAAACACCATGGATACTTAATTTATTTCTGTTTGGTAACAAAAGTGTTGCTCTTCTAGAGCCCTCAATTATGTTTGCTATGATATTTATTTTAGCCTCAGTAAAGGTCAAACTTGAATGAAATTTTCTATCCCGAAGAATGGTGTGCGTTGTTGCATTATCTACTATATAAATGTCTCAACCATTACTGGATATCAATGTCTTAATTTCGAAGTCTATCTTTAAAAAAAAAAAAAAAAATTACACTAATAAGGATGTTTACAGAATTATAAATTTATTCCATATCATCGAACACAATCATAAATATATTAATTATAAAGAGCATTATAAATAAATACTCATATTTTTGTATAACTTATACCCAATATATTATTTATTATAAGTTCATTTACAACTGTGTTATTAAGTTTAATTAACGTCTTGACCCCTGTGGAATAAGTTTCTGGCTACGTCCTTGTTTATTTGCTACAAGTTCATATATCTAATATAAGATGGAAGTACAATTACTAACATTGGTTATTGATAATATAATAAAAGCAGATCTAGCTATAAAGGTTGTATTCAACAATAATAAATATATCCAACCATAGATGCGGATTATAGATCCGCCCATAAAGACGGAATTTAACAATAATAAGTAGGTCTGACCATAAAGACATAATTCAAAAATAATAAATAAATCTAACCATAAAGGTGGAAACAGAGATTAAAGAATACATGTAGGATCGAAGTACTTACTTTCAATGAGGGTGCAATGTTAAACTTGTTAAGCTTTTCGTATTGATAACGTGTTATAATTTCAGTGGTTTAAGTGTAATAGATTAAGGAGTAAATATTAAGAAAGTAAAGTTGAACGGGGATGTAATGTTTCTTCTTTTCTTTCAATTGACTGCCTGTAAAAAATGAATTAGGATGGGGAGTACTTATAGCCATCAATTTTATAACAATCTTCCCTTTTCATCGCCTCATGTTAAGGCAGTGGATGGCCACCAATTTCATAACAATCTTCTCTTTTTATCAACCAAAGAGTTTTATATTAATTGAGTCAGTACAATTCGGTTTGGTGTGTGTTTGTAATTGGGCTAAATTAATAAAAGCATTAAATAGTTTTGTGAAAAATAAGAGACAGGACTCGAGTCTTGTTGTATTGTATGAATTGGAGAAAAGAAGTGAGAAAGAGAGAAATACTTTGAAAAAGATTGACAAGTTTTGACTTATTTTATAATAAAGAAACTCCTTGTAATTTTATATAAATAATTCTAGACCAACTTGGCTTAACTAATACGACACGACTCGTGTGACCAGCCCCAAGTCGATTTTAAAATATGCTAAAAACTCTTCGTTTATGAATTCTTTAAATTTTGAGTCTCACAAACATTGCAAAGGGAGAGTAGAAGGCAGCCTGTGGGGCTCTCATTTTAGTATAAAAAATCAATATTTTTAATACTTTTTTTCTCATTATTACGATATAAAATTTCATTTTGAATCTAGATTTTTAACAAAACAATTACAGTGAGAACTAATAATTGATATATTTGAGACAAGCTTTTTAAGAAAAACAAAATAAGTAATATTTTGACAGAGTTTTATTGGTTATATGAGCGATAAATTTCGTTTTTTTATTTTTATGTATTTTCAGAATATACTGAATGCGATTTTATTTCTTAAATTTTCAAATATGTTTTCAAACAAACATGTCCAACTTGTTTTTATTTTTCATATTTTTCAATCATTTTTAAAATTCTAAAAAAATAGAAAACAAAAATACAAAATTCATAAAAAACAATCATTTTCAATAGTATTACTGCAGATACCCTACAAGATTATAATTAAATAAATCACAATATAACCCAACATATTCTAAAATCACAATCAACCCTTTAATTTTCTTTCACTTTTCTTTTACCTTTTACTTTCTGCATATTTATCTTTTTATCTTTTCCATTTATTTTATCTCTCACTCTTAAAAAACAACGTCACGCAAAATTCAATTTTGATTATGGGTTTTACTAATTTTCTTTCCAAAAGATCAAATAGCTTAAAATTTTAATGTAATTAGCTAAATTTCAATAATACTTGAGTAATGTTTTAATTTTTTAATTTTTATAATTAAGAAAAGTAACAATCTGTCACCTTTACTTTATATGTGAGTTTAATAGTCATGTATTACTGCAGTCCTTGTCAATTCAAAGATGGGAGTAGTTGTAGACTTGTAGTCAAACGAACCATGCATCAGAATCTGATTATGGTCTTCCAGTCTTCCTTGCAATAATTAATTAATTATGCAACTTCTTATCATCACTATAAATTCTCATCAATCCATCAAACATATCTCACTCGCTTAATACAACCTACCATTTCGCTTATCAATGGAGAACATCAAGTGCATCTATTATGTTGCAGTGTTGTTTTTTCACCATTTCATGTCTAGCTTAGCTATGCCTGCCAAAAGCTTAACCACAGATCAATCTGCTCTTCTTCAATTCAAAACACATATCACTTCCGATCCTTACCGTGTGTTGGCGTCTAATTGGTCCATTTCTAATCCAGTCTGCCGATGGGTTGGAATTTCTTGTGATGCTCGCCATGGAAGAGTCAAAACCTTGAATCTTTCATCAATGGATCTTGGAGGCACCATTCCTCCGCACCTAGGTAATCTCTCATTCCTTGTGAATCTTGACCTTGGTGACAATAATTTCCATGGTCATCTGCCCAATGAACTGGGACAATTACGCCGATTGAGAGGCTTTTATATCGGCAACAATAAAATAAGTGGAGTTGTTCCAACATGGATTGATAGCTTATCTAAAATCCACTTTTTGTATCTTTATAATAACAGTTTTACCGGTACCATCTCACATTCTCTCTTCAATTTAACAACGCTAGAGGTCTTAAGACTACAAGGCAATAATATCGAAGGAAATGTACCATCAGAGATTGGGAAGCTCACCAATTTGAAAATTTTCCACATGGCAAGAAACCACCTTTCGGGCACCATACCTTGGAGTAGCATGGGCAACATTTCCTCATTACAAAGTCTTAGTTTAACCAACAATAGCTTGTCTGGCAGTCTGCCTGATGATATTTGCAATCATCTTCCAAACCTTGAATCACTTACTTTATCCCTCAATAGACTTTCCGGCCAGCTTCCGACGAGTTTAGGTGATTGCAGCAAGCTTCATACATTGTCATTGTCACATAATAAATTCACAGGACACATACTACAAACTGTTGGAAATTTGAGTGAGCTTATCCTTTTGTATCTTAATGACAACAACCTAGCAGGTACACGATTCCACTTTGGTATTTTTAAAGCATATAGCTGATGTGTCCATTAACATATATATTAGTATCATAATATTTTCTTCAATTAGTATAATCTTATAAAAGCAATATTTAATTTTCATATTTAATGTCTTGTAACTGTAAAAGTTGGCCAAAAGCTCTAAGTTTTAAGCACCAACGCTTTTCCTCTGGCAGGTGAAATTCCGCGGGAGATTTACAACTTGCAAGGTCTACAGTCTCTAGCTCTCGGTTCCAATAGTTTAACTGGTAATATTCTTCTCTCAAAATTTAATATTTCAATCATTACTTTATTTATAGTTAATATTATATATGATAACACATCATCTGAAATGTCAAATTTTAACAAACATATATTTAAAAATAACCTTAAGTTAGAATATTGTGGTTAAAAAAAAAAAATTGTATATATAAAGAAAAATTAGCTTTATATTTAATACGGAGAAAATAAATATGTTCAATAAGTTACAACTCAAATAATCGGTAACCAAACTTTTAACAAAAATGAGTAAAATGTTGAGTTAGAATCGACTAAACCATTTAGCAGCTGGTGAGAGTTGATATTTTTTTAAATATATTTAATGTAAATGTTTGTGTGAGGTTGATTATTTTTGACGTTGGATCTTGAATTTACAGCTGGTCTCCTCCCGTCAAGTATCTTCAATATTTCTTCTTTGGAGTTAATTCATCTTGGCAACAGTGGCCTAATCGGTAGTCTCCCAACGGATATCTGCAATCATCTTCCAGCACTTCGGCACCTTAGACTTTCTCGTAATATGATCAGCGGCACTATTCCAAAGAATATCAACAACTGTACTTCCCTAGAATTTTTTTGTCTGGATGAAAATCGCCTGACAGGTACTATCTTGGCTTCAGTTTATGTATTTTAGGTACTAATAGTACTGTTTCTTAACTAAATATTTATTTTTATTTTATAACTGAATCTCACAAACTCCTTTAAGGTATCCCAAAGGCTAAAGGCTTTATGCATCAATGTTTGCATTTTGGCAGGTGAAATTCCAGACGAGATTGGGAATTTGCAGAGTCTACGACACTTGGCCCTAGGTTCCAATGGCTTAACTGGTATAATTCCAACATCAATCTTCAATATTTCAACCATAGAAGAAATTGATCTATCCCTGAATAACCTTTCGGGCTGTCTACCATCAAGCTTTGGCCAATGGCTTCCGAACCTCGTGCGTCTTACCATAGGGCGCAATAAACTTACTGGAACAATCCCCAACTCCATCTCCAATGCTTCCAAACTCACTTTCGTAAGTCTAGGCGAAAACTCATTTTCTGGCCTTATTCCAAATACATTTGGCAACTTGAGACTCCTTAAATTGCTTAGCCTTGCGGGAAATAACTTGACCACTGAATCACCCACTACAGAATGGAGTTTTCTCTCTTCTTTGACAAATTGCAGAGAACTTGAAATTCTTTACTTAGATTGTAATCCATTGTATGGCGTCCTTCCCCTTTCAATTTGGAATATATCTGCAAATCTTGAATATTTTGAAGCAAGGAATTGCAGAATCAAGGGCAGCATTCCTGTAGAAATTGGTAACTTGCATAGCTTGTTGGTTTTAGACCTTTCGATGAATGCTTGAATGGATCTATTCCAGCAACTGTGGGAAGATTACCCAACCTCCAAGGTCTAGACCTCAGAAATAACAATTTGCAGGGATCCATTCCATATGAGCTTTGTAACTTAGAGAATTTCTATGAATTATACTTAAGTGCCAATGATCTCGCCGGGCGCATACAACCGTGCTTGGTGAGATTGATTTCTCTAAGATATCTTTACTTGGACTCCAATAGATTGACTTCTGATATACCGTCGGCCTTATGGAGTCTTAAAGACATCTTGGAAGTAAATCTATCATCAAATTCTTTAAGTGGTTCCCTCTCTTCAGACTTACAAAATTTAAATGTTAGAGTTCTTGATTTGTCAAAGAATCAATTATCAGGTAATATTCCTGTCACTCTCGGGCACATTGCAACTCTAGAAACTCTATCTTTGGCTGACAATAAATTTGACGGGCCTATCCCTACCACATTTGGCACTTTGATAAGCTTGGTATCACTGGATCTCTCAAACAACAGTCTCTCAGGTGAAATTCCTAAGTCATTGGAATCGCTCTCATATCTAAAAAACTTTAACGTGTCTCTTAATAGGTTAGAAGGAGAAATTCCCACCAAAGGACCTTTCAGAAACTTTTCAGCTCAGTCATTTTTGTTAAATCATGCATTATGTGGATCACTAAAGCTAGGCGTACCTCTGTGCGAGGGTGGCACCATCAAACGATCAAAGACAACCACTACACTTGTATTGAAATATGTTTTGCCTTTGATCTTGTCAATTTTATTGATAGTGATTGTCATCATTGTCTTCATAAGGTATCGGTACAGAAGAAAAGATTCTCCAATTGATGAAGTTGATTTGTTACCTTTAGCAGAATGGAGAAGAACATCATATCTAGAAATTCAACAAGCAACTGATGATTTTAGTGAGTGCAACTTGCTTGGTATAGGTAGTTTTGGCTCAGTATTTAAAGGGATACTTTCAGATGGGAGTAATGTTGCGATAAAGGTTTTTAATTTACAAGTAGAGCGTGTACTTAGAAGCTTTGACGCTGAATGTGAAGTGTTGCGCAACATTCGTCATCGGAATATCATAAAAATCTTGAGCAATTGTAGTAATATTGATTTCAAGGCCTTGATACTTGAATTTATGCCAAATGGTAGCCTTGAGAAGTGGTTGTATTCTCACAACTATTTTCTAGATTTGCTGCAAAGGTTGAATATAATGATAGATGTTGCATCCGCTCTTGAGTACCTCCATCACAGTTATTCAACATCTATCGTCCACTGTGATTTGAAGCCCAACAATATCCTACTGGATGAAGATATGGTTGCACATGTGAGTGATTTTGGTATTGCAAAACTCTTGAATGATGGAGATTCTAAGACACGAACCACAACACTAGCCACTATTGGGTATATGGCACCAGGTGATGTTTCAACTCTAAACCTCAAATTTATATTTTAACCGTTCACATTTAATATCCAACCATACACATACAACATATGGTCTATTACCAATTAGAATATTATACACTGATCATTTATTTTTATGATGAAATTAAATTTAAATTTTGTAGAGTACGGATCAATGGGGATTGCTTCTATAAGAGGTGATGTCTACAGCTTTGGTGTTTTATTGATGGAAACTTTCATAAAAAAGAAGCCTACAGATGAGATGCTTGCTGGAGAAATGAGTTTAAAGAATTTGGTAGAGTCGTCATTGCCTCATGCAGTGACTGAAGTTGTGGATGCTAATTTGTTGAGAGACCAGAATCCTTTTGATGCCAAAGTGAATTGCGTGTTAAGCATCATGGACTTGGCTTTGAATTGTTCAATGGAGTCACTTGAACAGAGGATCAGTATGAAAGATGCATTAGCAAAACTCAAGAAGATCAAATTGCAGTTTCATAAAGATGTTGGGGCACCTAATTAAATAATGTTATATTGTTGTGTATGTTATTTATGAATTTAATTTCTTGTTTAAGATCATTCTAATTAGTAGTTATCTAGTCAAACATTGAATAATGGATTTTGAGCTAGCTTCAATTTCTAATATATGTAATGAAGAAGTGGCCATATATGTGATCTGCAAAATATTCAGTTTTATCTTACCTGCAGATATGATATTAAATAACTACATGCTTGAATAAAAATGCAGGAAAGGTTTGAATCAATTTCTATAACCTCGAAAAATTTGTAGTTTTATCAATAACTTTTATTTTACGAGACGTTCACAGACTGGAAATAAAGCAATAAATAGATAAAATACTTAAAATAATCTACTGTTTTATGAGAATACTTTAATTGATTTTTCTAGAATTTAGATGTGTGAATCTAATGTTTGGATGGAGAGAAAAACAAAGAAGAGAGAACTTCAAAGAATTCTAGAAAGATAATCGTATTTATTATTGGGCTTCGTTAAACGGACAGACTTATTCCTTCATTCATCTTGCTCTCTACATCTTGGGCCTTCACCCGGGCTTTTTGAGTACAGTTATCTACTTTCTAAATGCAGTCACCTCAGCCGAGAATCGTTTTTTGCACGAGCGTGCTTGAACTGAGTAACAATCTATAATTTTAAAATCTAATCAAATGAGGACCAAAACACAAACGACATCCCAATTTTGTTAAACGAACAAGGTGAAAATGCTCTTTTTCTCTATTCTTTCATTTTTTTCCACTTTTCCCAATCTTGTTCCTTCTTATCCTCCACCATTTTTTTCTTACATCTGTTAACCACCGTTAATCTAACCGTTGGATTCAAAAAGCTTTTCTGCAAAAAGCACAAATTCTTCAGCAGCTGAAATGAAAAAACAGAGGAGTCTGCTGTTGCGTTTTTGCACTTCTTCTTCTTCAACTTTATATTTACAAAACGCAGCACTTCATTAATCAACTGATTCATCAAAACTGTTGCAGCAGCTGTTAATAGAACCGTTAAGCAGTGAATTTTTTAATATGAATCTGGAAATTTGAGTATTAACTAAAAAGAACAGAGCTCTCTGTCTCCTCTTTGCTTTAGCCGCTGATTCCGTAACATCCAGCATTTTCTGCTGCAGCTCTGATCTGTCCTTTATTAACATGTATAATCCCTTATTGTGAAATCTACTAAGGCTATTTCTGATCTGTTCTAATTAATGATTTTCTAGTCAAACATCGAATAATTCCTTATTTAAGATAGTTCTAATGTCTAATGGAAAAGTGTCAAAAGTGGCCATATGTGTTCTGCAAAATTTTATCATTCATTCATTTATATCGAATAAGAGCGGGAATTGTTGAAACAACTGCTATATTCAAGAAGTAATTGTAGTTCATGAATGGAAAAGTACTTGAATAATCCTTGTTATTGTTTCTGCTTCAACCTCTCTTTAATAAATATGATACAGAGCATAATAAAATGTTAAAGGTCCCTTGATTTTAATTTAACGAGCGAGACATAATTAAGCCATTCATTTTTATATAATTTATGAATTTTGAAATGTCAAGCACTGATTTGAAAAAAAAAAAAAATTCAAATTTTCAATGTTAATACTTGGATTAGTACAAATTGATTAGTGCACATAACATTATTAAGTAGAAATTCAGGAGAGAAATGAATAGTTAGTGAAGCTTAATTTTCTCTTAATGCACGACACCTGCCAAAGTTGGTCCTTAAATTTCTGTGACTTTCTAGCATTAATCTGAATGGACGACCCAAGACCTACATACTACTGTTAATGCGAAATGAATTGCGAAGTCAAGTTTCAATTAATGAGAAATTAATTCCGAAGCCAAGTTCAAACTATGGGGTATGAGAATGTGAATGACTCTGCAGAAAATTAACTATAAATGAAAATATTCCTAGTTCAATTAATGAGAAATAAGTTTCGAAGTCAAGTTCTTCCTACGTCAGTCAATGTCAATGACGAGTAAGACTCAAGATTACACCCAAATCTGACCCGGCATACATCCACTTCATCCAGTCAAGCTAAGGACAAATTTTGTCGTAATTGTTATAATATAAATGAAAGTGAATAATACCACACATCCAAAAAAAGAATCCTAAATTTTTCATCCCAAATGATGTGTAATCCTATATGGTGATAAGATGTAAATGAAAACGTGATTTGGTGAATCATATGACAATACCAAATAGAATGACACATCATTTTGAGATATGAATTCAGGGTATCTTTTGGGATGTGTAATATCAGTTGATGAAAATATCATTATATGTCCATAGCCATACAAACAATGTTTATCACAATGTCTTCCTATATTAATCCAATTGTGTGAATCACTATTATTACATAAGTTAAACAAAAGGCTATACCATAAAAAGAACAAGAGCAAGATTAATATTATAAATATTACAAGTTTTATATAATTATTACATAAGTTTCAACAGATACAATGTTGTACTACATATCTTTCTGAAATTTGTTCACCAATTTCAAAGTCATTATTTATATTCTAAATTTTATATTTCCATGTTAAGCGTCTTATGTTAAATGTAATTAATCTATAATTCAATGTATTAAAAATCTCGCAATCCATATGAACATACAGCAATGAGTGTATGTTGTAATGGAGGCATTAAAATATTCCAAAAAGGCCCAATAAATAAGAAATCTTGACAAACGCCGCATATAAAGGGAGGAAAAATCCCATAATTGGGATATCTACAGATAGCTAATTGGATATTAATATACCATTTTGTGATTCAAATACGCAGAATGAAAAAGAAAAAAATATAGTGAAAATTAATTAGATTCCGCTCCCATGATTGTAAACACATGGGAGCGGAACCTAATTAATTTGCATTAATAGTGGTCGTCCTTGTAATAATTATGCTACTTTTTTCATTACTATAAATTTTATCAATCCGTTTACATATCTCGCTTCAATTTCTAATGTGTAATGGAAAAAGTCATTGGTTAACTTATTTGACTTAATATTGCATAACTATATGCTTGAATAAGAGAGCAGGGGTGGTTGAAACAATGATTTTTGACAAAATCGGTACAGATAATTAAGCAATAAATGAATAAATAAAATACTTCACTAAGAACTGTTTAATAAGCTTCTTCTAACCTGTCTTAAAAATTATGATATATACAGCACATTATTAGAAGTGTCTTCTCAATGAAAATACTGTGGCATAGATTCAACGAGCATGACAGAAGATGACTTTATTTCTTCATTTAACGAACAATATAAAGAAACAATAGAACAAGAACAAGATCATATAACCCCTTAATTATTATGAAATAGAGTATATTATTACACAAGGAAAGTATAGGGCTATACCATGCATATATAGAAACATCTATAACAATTAATCCTGAACCCCCAAAATTGATTAGCTTTGCTCAATGTCTGATAATGCCTGCCTCCAATGTTTTAATAACCAACCCATGGTGAAACCTGGCAGATTTGCTAGGTCTTGGGTTGACTGATTTGATCGGCCGGTCAAACCGGATGACAAAACTTTTAAAATTCAGCAAATATATCCCAAAAAATTGTTAAGTCCCTATAGGTTTGAAATTTAATAAACACACCCAAAATACAAATCGACCAACGACTGGTTGGCAGCGGTGAGTCGGTGACACCCCAAATGCAATCCAATCATCCCTTGAACCTATTCCCCAGAAAATCTACCTAAGATTTGGTCGAAATCTGTTCGATTTCAGCCAGATCTCACCGACGTTGGTGTCGATATTCTAGGCCAGATCTCATCGACGCTGGCGTCGACAATCCTCCCCATCACCTCGAAAATACTCCTCTCTTCCTCCCGACCAAAATCCACCGCACCCCACCCCCCTTAGCCTCGCCAATCACCAACAAAAACTAGCTTTTTTTTTTTTTTTTTTTTTTTAAATGTATGATCGATTCACTCATCGGAAATCAACTTCGTAGCCACCATTGCACTCATCGACACTTTCTCTTTAAAATCCCCAACATCTTGGCCATCAATTGTTCACCCACCATCATCCAAAATTCTAGGATTTTGGATGAATAGGTAAAATGTTAACCCGACGCAATGAAGCTTTCGAGACCTGGTTAAAACCAGTCGGGCCAAGCTGGGTTTTAAAAGAGAGCCTATCTCCATCCCTTAAATATCATAGCCCTCCATCCCTCACCTAACATAGCCGCTATCTTCATGAGTCCCATCCCCAGATTAACCTGAAACCAAAAGAGATTTTGTTCTCACTTTACAAAAGAGATGAATGATAGAGTCTTGGACAAATTTATGGAAGTTTAACAGTCACAAAAAACTAATTATTAATTAAATAATATTTATATTTTATTCTTTGACACGTAAACAAACACGAAAACAAAAGCATGAAGATAAAGCATTCAATTAAATTAAGAAGTTTTGAACTAAGGATGTCGATTTTGTCTTTATCCTGTTCTAGTATTCTTCAACTTGGAAGTAAATAAAAAGTGGAGGGGTCATCCCCGAGTCTAGTTAAAATTAAGTTAGCATTATCTTCCCTTTTTATTGTTGACCAAAGGGTAAAAGTGTAAAAACCTCAAGTAGCAGGAGGAAAATGATATTTTGCAATACGATGTCGTTTCGTCTATAACAGAATCAGAAGTTCAGTTGTAAAGTAGTTGGTAATCTGCTTTTTGTATAAAAAGGGAGAATGCTCCCTTACTTGTATCAGTTACGAATTTACACTACAATAACTGAAATCAGTTACATTTTCTTGATTTTACATTTATCAACCAGAGTTTTATTTTATTCGAGTCAATACAATTCTGTTTTGTGTGTGTGTGTGTGTTTGTAATTGAGCTGAATTAATAAAAGTATAATTAGGTTTGTGAAAGAGAAGAGACAAGACTCGATTCTTGTTGTATTATATGAATTGGAGAGAAGACTTTGAAAAAGACCAACTTGGCTTAACTAATAAGGCACGGCTCGTGCGTCCTGTGTGTTAGAAAGTTCACCAACAATTATGGTCTTGCTAGAAATATTACTTAATTATGCTACTATTTCATCATTACAAATTCTTTTATCCACGATATATCTACCTATCTCACTTCATACATCCTATTTCACAAATCAATGGAGAATATGATGTCCATCTATTTCTTTCCAGTGTTGTTTGTGAATTTCTGTTTCATGTCTAGCTTAGCTATGGCTGCCAAAAACTTAACAACCGATCAATCTGCTCTTCTTCAATTCAAAGCACATATCACTTCTGATCCTAGCCGTGTCTTAGCGTATAATTGGTCCATTTCTAAACCAGTCTGCCGATGGGTTGGAATTTCTTGTGATGCTCGCCATGGAAGAGTCACAACCTTGAATCTTTCATCAATGGATCTTGGAGGCACCATTCCTCCACACCTAGGTAATCTCTCATTCCTAGTGAATCTTGACCTTGGTGACAATAATTTCCATGGCCATCTGCCCAATGAACTGGGAGAATTACGCCGATTGAGAGGCTTTTATATCGGCAACAATAAAATAAGTGGAGTCGTTTCAACATGAATTGGTAGTTTATCTAAAATCCACTTTTTGTATCTTTATAATAACAGTTTCACCGGTACCATCTCACATTCTCTCTTCAATTTAACAACGCTGGAGGTCTTGAGACTACAAGGCAATAATATCGAAGAAAATGTGTCGTCAGAGATTGGGAAGCTCACCAATTTGAAAATTTTCCACATGGCAAGAAACCACCTTTCGGGCACCATACCTTGGAGTAGCATGGGCAACATTTCCTCATTACAAAGTCTTAGTTTAACCAACAATAGCTTGTCTGACAGTCTGTCTGATGATATTTGCAATCATCTTCCAAACCTTGAATCGCTTACTTTATCCCTCAATAGACTTTCCGGCCAGCTTCCGGCGAGTTTAGGTGATTGCAGCAAGCTTCATACATTGTCATTGTCATTTAATAAATTCACAGGACACATACTACAAACTGTTGGAAATTTGAGTGAGCTTATCCTTTTGTATCTTAATGACAACAACCTAGCAGGTACACGATTCCACTTTGGTATTTTTAAAGCATATAGCTGATGTGTCCATTAACAGATATATTAGTATCATAATATTTTCTTCAATTAGTATAATCTTATAAAAGCAATATTTAATTTTCATATTTAATGTCTTGTAACTGTAAAAGTTGGCCAAAAGCTCTAAGTTTTAACCACCAACCCTTTTCCTCTGGCAGGTGAAATTCCACAGGAGATTTACAACTTGCAAGGTCTACAGTCTCTAGCTCTCGGTTCCAATAGTTTAACTGGTAATATTCTTCTCTCAAAATTTAATATTTCAATCATTACTTTATTTATAGTTAATATTATATATGATAACACATCATCTGAAATGTCAAATTTTAACAAACATATATTTAAAAATAACCTTAAGTTAGAATATTGTGGTTCAAAAAAAAAATTGTATATATAAAGAAAAATTAGCTTTATATTTAATACGGAGAAAATAAATATGTTCAATAAGTTACAACTCAAATAATCGGTAACCAAACTTTTAACAAAAATGAGTAAAATGTTGAGTTAGAATTGACTAAACCATTTAGCAGCTGGTGAGAGTTGATATTTTTTTAAATATATTTAATGTAAATGTTTGTGTGAGGTTGATTATTTTTGACGTTGGATCTTGAATTTACAGCTGGTCTCCTCCCGTCAAGTATCTTCAATATTTCTTCTTTGGAGTTAATTAATCTTGGCAACAGTGGCCTATTCGGTAGTCTCCCAACGGATATCTGCAATCATCTTCCAGCACTTCGGCACCTTAGACTTTCTCGTAATATGATCAGCGGCACTATTCCAAAGAATATCAACAACTGTACTTCTCTAGAATTTTTATATCTGAATGAAAATCGCCTGACAGGTACTATCTTGGCTTCAATTTATGTATTTTAGGTATTAATACTGTTTCTTAACTAAATATGTATTTTTATTTTATAACTGAATCTCATAAACTCCTTTTAATGGATTCCAAAAGCTGAAGGCTTTGTGCATCAATGTTTGCATTTTGGCAGGTGAAATTCCAGATGAGATTGCGAATTTGCAGAGTCTACGAGACTTGGCCCTAGGTTCCAATGGCTTAACTGGTATAATTCCAGCATCAATCTTCAATATTTCAACCATGGAAAAAAATGATCTATCCACTTCTTGTATCTTTATAATACAGTTTCACCGCTACCATACCTTGGAGTAGCATAGGCAACATTTCCTCATTACAAATTCTTAATTTAACCTACAACAGCTTTTCTGGCAGTCTGCCCGATGATATTTGCAATCATCTTCCAAACCTTGAACGGCTTTCTTTATCCTACAATGGACTTTCTGGCCAGCATCCGGTGAGTTTAGGTGATTGCAGCAAACTTCATACATTGTCATTGTCGTATAATAATTTCACAGGACACATACCACAAACTGTTGGAAATTTGAGTAAGCTTATCGGTTTGCTTCTTAATCACAACATCCTAGCAGGTACACGATTCAACTTTGATATTTTTGAAGCATATAGCTGGTGTGTGCATGAGTGTCCAATAACATATATATTAGTATTATAATATTCTCTTCAATTAGTATGTTATACTTTAAAAAAAATTTACAACTTAAAAAAATAAAACATACAAGCGTTGTATATTAATAATCTTATAAAAGCAATAGGTCTGGGAAATCCAATCTGTTTGGTACCTTGAAAAAGGGTTGTGGTAGAAATTTAAGGAGGTGTTTGTCTGAGGTTATGAAAATTAGTTTATAAGCATTTGAAATTTTAAGTAATTACGTGTTTAGTTAAAGTACTTATAAGTGACTGATAAGTAGTTGACGTGTTTGGTAAAATATGGTTTGTAAGTACATTTTATTATAAATGACTAAAAAGGGTACTATATTAAATAAATGGATACTATGAAATTTTAAAATTAAACGAAGATAATGTAGTAATATACTTTGTCAAACTAGCTTATAAAAAAAAAAAAAAAAAAAAGCTCAAAAAAATTATAAGCAAATAAGTCAACTTAATTTTAAAGTTTATAAACTAGTTTAACCAGCTTATAAACTTAGAGAAACACCCTTAAAGTTATACCATGTTAATTTTCAATTTAATGTCTCTTAACTGTAAAAGTTAGCCAAAAGAAGCACCAACGTTTGTCCTCTAGCAGGTGAAATTCCACGGGAGATTGACAAGTTGGAAAGTCTACAGTTTTTAGGTCTTGGTTTCAATAGTTTCACTGGTAGTATTCTTTCCCTCAAAATTTAATGTTTCAATATTATTATGGATGCGTTTGATTTATTATTTTGGATAAGATTTTGGAGATAGTATTAGATAATTGAATATGGGAGTATTACGAGGTAAAATTTTAAAATTTATAAAAGAATCCCCTAGGTTTGTTAATTTAATAAATACCCCAATATATATAAATATATAAAATGACACAAAGACCTCCAGCACCTGCAGTGCCAGATTCCAGCCACCACCATTGGAATTTGGCTAAAAAATTGCATAACCACACATACCGGCCGGTATGGCGTCGCTATGGCCTTTTCCAGCCAAATCTACCACAGATCTGGCCGGAAAAGGCCAGATCTATGGCCATATGTGGCCGTTGACGGCCGAAAAAGGCCAAAGAAGGCCATCTTTGGCCGTCAGCGAAGACCAAAGATATGGATTTGGCCGTCGTTGACCGTCAACGACGGCCAGATCAATGAATTACTGGCCAGTTCCAGTCAGTAATTCACCGTTGTGGCAGATTCCGGTTACCATCGATGGTGGTTGCCAGAATCTGACAAGTATGGGTTATGGGGGTGTTTTTGTTAATTTTAAACTTTTTTCAGGGGGTATTTGATGAAATTAATAACCTTATGGGGTCTAAAAGTAAATAAAAAATACAGTAATATTTCTGAAATAATGTGTCAAACATTATTTGGAGAATATGATTGAGAATATAGGTAGAAATAATAAGTCAAACACACCCTATATTTATTGTTAGTAACTTTTAATATTATAAATGTAAAATAATATAATTTAAAAAATAACCTAAACTTAGAATATTGTGGTAAAAAAAATTGTATATATAAAGAATAATGACTATAGATTATGACTACAAGTATAGAATTAAAAAATATATATATTTAATTTTATATTGTTTTACAGCTGGCGTTCTCCCGCCAAGCATCTTCAATATTTCTTCTTTAAAGTCAATCTATCTTCCCAACAGTGGCCTATTCGGTAGTCTCCCAGCGGATATCTGCAATCATCTTCCAGCACTTCAGTACCTTTGTATTGCTCGTAATAAGATCAGCGGCACAATTCCAAAGAATATCAAAAACTGTACTCATCTAGAAGTTTTATTTCTGCACGAAAATCGTCTGACAGGTACTATCTTGGCTTCAATTTATGTATTTTAGGTATTAATACTATTTCTTTAACTAAATATTTATTTTTCAACTGAATCTCGTAAACTCCTTTTAAGGTATCCCAAAAGCTGAAGGCTTTATGCATCAATATTTGCATTTTGGCAGGTGAAATTCCAGATGAGATTGGGAATTTGCAGAGTCTACAACACTTGGCCCTAGGTTCCAATGGCTTAACTGGTATAATTCCAGCATCAATCTTCAATTTTTCAACCATGGAACAAAATGATCTATCCCTGAATAACCTTTCGGGCTGTCTACCATCAAGCTTTGGCCAACGGCTTTTGAACCTCGTGCGTCTTACCATAGGGCTCAATAAACTTACTGGAACAATCCCCAACTCCATCTCCAATGCTTCCAAACTCACTTTCCTAGATCTGACTGGAAACTCACTTTCTGGTCTTTTTCCAAATACATTTGGCAACTTAAGACTCCTTAAATATCTTGGCCTTGCGGGAAATAACTTGACCACTGAATCACCCACTACGGAATGGAGCTTTCTCCCTTCTTTGACAAATTGCAGAGAACTAAAAGTTCTTTACTTAGATTATAATCCATTGTATGGCGTCCTTCCACTTTCAATTGGGAATCTATCATCATCTCTGCAAATTTTTCGTGCAAGTAATTGCAAGATCAAGGGCAGCATTCCTATAGAAATTGGTAACTTACATAGCTTGTTTGTTTAAGACCTTTCGATGAATGACTTGAATGGAGAGGAAATTTCGCTGCCCGGCCATCCCAAGTTTGTATTTAACAAAATGGCCTTCAAAATGTTTTTCATTTTTTTTTTAATTTAGAGAAGCTGACATGGCATAGTTAGGAAGAGTTAAAAACGTAAAATGGGTTAAAATGAAAAAATTAAAACATATTTTGGACAAATCATAAATAATGAAAGTTTTTAAAATTTCAAATTTTAAAATGAGCCCCAACTATTCACCTCGCTTAATCGAAACTCATTAGGGCAAAAAGCGATTTCTTGAACCCAACGGAATGGAGACTGTGCGATTTCCGATCGAACCTAGAAATTTCCATCCATATTCAATCCTAAAATCAATTTCTTGAGCCCTAAACGGAATACAATCACAATTTTCGGCGATACAGTCGCGATTTACAATCGATTTCTTGAACCCTAAAAGCAATTTCTTGAACCTAAAAGAGACTGTGCGATTTTCGATCGAGCCTGCAAATTTCCACACCATATTCAATCCTAAAATCAATTTCTTGAACACTAAATGGAATACAGTCGCGATTTCCAATCGATTTCTTGAACCCTAAACGGAATCTGTGCGATTTCTGGCGATGCAATCCACATTTCTGATCGAAACTACAAATTTTGACACCAAATTCAATCCAAAACCATGGCTGACATTGACAATAAGGAGGAAAACACAAGGCCACTTTGAATCCTAGATTTTGGTGGAGCAAGCAGTTCAATGGCTGTTGCGGTGGATCATCCAATCAGTGAAGGTGGTCCACAGGTAGAGGAGTTGACAGCAGCACAACAACAGAGAGAAGAATCACAAAACGTTTCTGAAGAGGAGGAGTTAGGCCAAAATTCAGGAGAGGAAGAGGAGTCTGGCGAGAATTCAGGCTATGAGGAGTCTTCCGAGGATTCAGGAACGAGGAGGAGGTCGGCGAGAATGCAGGCGACGAGGAGGTCGGTGAAGAAAGGGTACGTATTTGCTTTAGGAGTATTGCTCTGTACTGTCACTTAAGTGATCATTTGTATCGCTTAAGTGATTAATCTCTTAAGCAATTAATCATTTGTTTTGGGAGTATTACTCATGGTCGCTGAAGCGATTGATTCAGTTTACTCTTGGTTGCTTAAGCAATTTCAGATCGCCTAAGCGATCCTATCTAATGCAGAATCTAGATATAAGATTGCTTAAGCGATACTTTACTCTTGGTCGCTTAAGCGATTGCAGATCGCTCAGGAGATCTTGCACGAGGCAGAGTCAAGATCTCTTAAGCAATCCGAAATCGCTTAAGCGACCACAAAGGTAATTTTTTGTTGCTGATATTTTGTTTATTAGTTGTTTTGGTTTATTTTTGTTACTGACATGTTGTTTATATTTATTGTGCAGATTATGCGGACCGTAAACCATATAGACTACAACTTGGAGCTTGTAAGCGATAATGTACCCTACTTCCCTGCAAGGGTGACGGTCAGGTCGAGTTTGGATGTTTTTGAAAGAATAAAAGAGATTTTAGCTGGAATGAGGCGTGGTGCTATAGATTTTGAAGACACTTGTTTTGGTCGGTTTTTAAGAATCGGAACAAATTGGAAAAAAGGCGTTTTGGGGGCAAGGAGTGCATTACATGTAGCTGCACTCAGTAAAATGCAATAAAAATAAAGAAATGTAGTTCATGGTGGGCGGAAAGCCACTATGTTTTGGGATGATGGAATATGCCTTGTTGACGAGCTTAGGATGTGGGAAATTGCCAGATAAGCCAAAGGCAGACGTAATAAGGAAGAGTCCGGGAGTCATAAGGTTTCGTAACAAGGTTTTGTAGAGGGCAAAGTCTATTACAGGACACGGTTTAGAGGAGAGGCTAGAAACAGTTCGGTTTAATGATGGAGAGAAGAAAAAAATGTGCTTGGTATTGTTTTTACATTCGATTTTATTGGCTGTTGACTCAACAAAAGCTATTGAGAATGATTGGTTGTTGTTTGCAAGCGACTTGGAGTTCTTTAATTCTTATCCGTGGGGACGGATATCATTTGAGTGAACCATCAAGAGCCTGAAAAAACCAGACATGGCATTAAAGCAGTCCCAATGCGTTAGGAAGGATAAATCAAGCACGTATAATTTGTTTGGCTTCCCATGGGCAATGCAGGTAAATATTAATAGCTTTTTGTTATATTTTTTGTAATATATGTGTTTGAATTATGATATGGACTGTTTTTGTACAATGAGGCTTAGATGTATGAGGTCGTCCCTGTCTTCGCTTAGGCAGGGGGGAGGGGGAAGAGTTCGGATGTGCAATAGCAAATTCCTAGGATGTTGCGGTGGCATGTCGAGAAGTGTACCCATTGGGAGTACAACCAAATAGACATTGAGATTGAAGCGGTTGGGTAAGATTAAAGGATTAAGCTTTTGAATATGTAGTTGCTTTAAAATGTCACTTCAATCTGATTGATTTTGTTTCTTATTGTAGGGAGTCGTCCGTCCCTTTCTCACCGCTATTGGGGATGAAGCGGAAGAGGACTATGTCACATCTTCAGTGCACTAGAGATGAAAGGGATGAACGGATAGACCGCCTAATGTAGGACTTACAAGGGGTCATGCATGTGACAGTAATTGCAGGGCCACTGATTGACAACGTGGTTGATGCTGAGGATGATGAAGCTCCAATCGACGGGAGGCCCGAGGAGGAGGAGGAGGAGAAGAGGGAGGAAAAGGTTTGTATGCCTCAGCAAATCGGTACAACAAGGACCGCTTTGTCGAGACATCGGCGTCGGGAGAATGAGGTGGTTGACCTCATAAACGGCTTGTTTCAGAGTTTTACAACATCCGTTTATGATAGGTTTGACCAGATGGAAGAGCGCATGAAAAGGGTGGAGGAGAAAGTGGATAAGCTGGGAGAGAAAGTAAGTACAGTGGAGGAGGAAGTTGGTGGAGAATTAAAGGCGGTTGAAGCGCAAACTGGCCATCACCGATGTGGCGTTTGGCCAAATGCTTGTTTCGACATATCTCACTTTAATTAAAAATGTCATTACTAGAGGTGCAGCAAAATGAGCGAAAAAGATTGGCCCCAAAACAGTTGGATTGAATCCCTGATGATTTGCAGTTTGATGACAGGATTATGCAGTATGTACGGGGGGAAAGGCCTAAATATGGCCATGGTTGGGCCTTTGTTAAAGGAGTCTACTGCATCATCCTCGTAAAAAAGATGCATTGGATAGCAGTCGTCGCGCATCTAGAGGAGAGGTTGCTGAAGATCCTTGACTGCAATCCAACTATTTGTCGAGACAAGCAGTTGGAGGTCGAGTTAGAGCCACTGTCCATGTTGTTCTCGCGGCTGTTGCATGACAGCGGGATGTTTGGGCACTTGGGTGATCAAGTAATAACCGGAAAGTGGCCACTTAAGCACTCTACCATCCTAATAAATAAGTCAAGGTAAATTTTGTATAAAACTAACTTACATAATACAATTGTTCTATAAGTTTATTCTAATGGTAATGTTTTTTTCCTATTGTAGCGCTGAATGTGGGGCATATGCCCTGAAATTTATTCAGTTCGACATGACCAACACCCTGAGGGATTGCTTGAATGACAAAACAATGAGAGACTGTCTGGAGCGTTGGGCTGTCGACTGCTTCCATGGCAGATGGATCCATTTTGAGTGACCAGAACCCAATCAAAAGGTATGAAAGTTGGACTTTGAATTTTGTAGTTTATGTGATGTTGATGTTGATACTTGGGTTGTGGTGTTGATGCTACAGGTGTCATGCTTATATGGAGCTTTACTAAAAGAGACAGACTGAGTGAACTTCTCACCTATCCACTCTGTAACTTTTTTACATGTTTTTTTTTAATTTACAAAAGCTTACGTGTCTGCAGGTGTGTGCCGGATAATTTTGTAGGTTCTTGGCAAACAATGAGAGGAAACTTATCAAAGACTGTTTGGCAAGAGGAGGCATCTGCAATAAATGTTGCTGGGAAGGCATGGTACCAAACAATGATCTCAGATAGGTTGCTGGCAAACAGAATTCGAAAACTTCTCAAAGGCTGGTTGGCAGGAGGAGGCATCTGCAATAAAGGCTGTTGGGAAGGCATGGTACCAAACAATGATCTGAGATAGGTTCCTGGCAAACAAAATTCGAAAATTTCTCAAAAGCTGGTTGGCAGGTCACAAGAGGGAAATGAGAATGTATGGAAGGGAAATGAGACGAAAAATGATACTTGGAATTGGGTTCTCCTTTGCAATTGTCTGGGTGGAGGACATTTTATTGCAATCACAACTACAGTTAAATGTCTTAGGAATTACTGTGTTCTGGCACTATTATGGATGATTTTAAGTTTAAACTTTCAATTACATTGATGTCTCTTATATTTTGATTTGTGATGAATTACATTGATATAAATTACTTAATTTTGCGATACAAATCCTTTTCGGATTTGGGAGGGAAATGAGTGATGTACAAATGTTTCCCAATCATAGTCATTTCGAAATTAATTAACCTAAAGACAGGCATGGTACCAAACAATTACGTACACGACCAAGACTTTTCTAGAAATGACCGCTTAAGCGATCTCAAATCGCTTAAGCGATCAAGAGTTTGTTACGAAGCATCGCTTAAGCGATACATACGATCGTTTAAGCAATTACCCATCTAGATAGATGTTCATTTTGTCTGGGAAAATATTGCTTAAACGATTCAGAATCGCTTAAGCGACAAAGTTTTAAGAAGAATCGCTTAAGCGATACATAAGTGATCATAGATCTGGGCAGATATTCATTCTGCCTCGGACAAGATCGCTTAAGCGACCAAGAGTCTTTTACGAAAATCGCTTAAGTGATACAAATGGATCGCTTAAGCGATCATAGATCTGGGCATCTGCAACGGACTAGATCGCTTAAGCGATTACCGATCACTTAAGTGACTAGGAGTAAAAGCAAAGAATCACTTAAACGATACAGACGGATCGCTTAAGCGACTAGAGTAAAAGCAAAGAATCGC